CTTAACAGCAACCCAGCAAAGGTCCCAAGAGCGGATCAGAAAACTGGTGCCAGGCATTCGAACTTGCTGAGCCTCCGAAACTGCTTCCGCATCGGGCGGGCGGTATCTTTGCGTCACGTCCTCTATGGTCACGTTGTGTGAAGTTGCCTGCAACTTTGCTGTGTGGGTGGGGGACGTGGAGGTTTGGGGTGCAGTGCTTCATCTAGCTAGCTAAGGTTCGAGAAGGGTTTTGGAATATGTTACAATATGCTCTATAAATCAAGAAACAATGAAATCATATTGGCAATTATGTAAGCTTCTACGGTAGGACTTAGCATTTAGCTCTTGGCATGCTCTTGACACCACCTGAGGAGCCCAGGCGTTTTACAACCTTGTGGCTTCGGGTTTAGGGTTTAGGGTGTAGGGTTTAGGATTGTGATATCATTTCGACGGACACCAAAGACGATGACAGCGGCTGGGTCGTTCTCAAAATTATGAGCACCTTTTGGCTTAGATTATATTGCGGCACCTACTATTTAGGGGTACCAAAATGGAACACTAACTTTTGGAACTACCCATTTTGGGAAATAGACAGCAAAACACTTTTGGGGCCGAAATCTAAGGTACAAGCTGGGCCTACAAATCAAAGCAGCTCCGACCATCTCAACCAGATTGCATCGGATGAAGACCATGGAAACAGAGAGCCTCAAAATCACCTCCTGAAAGCCCACATCGTCTCCTTCCCAAAGGATCTGTGTTTGGTTGGGGTCGGGCTCAGCCCCTAGAATCTGAATCACCAACTATCCGTACCCGCCTGGTAGGCCAAAACATGGTTGGGGCATCTGCCCCATCCGTTGGCATAGAGGAGAGGTTCCTAAGCATGATAAGCTTGAGGGTATCGGTTGCGCACTCACCAGGGATGTACGTAACGCAGTCCATGGATTAGGTTTTAGATTGTGGGGTTTAGGGTTCTCAGGTTTTGAGTTTAAAGGTTTGTGGCTCCAGGGGTTTAGGTTTTGGATTTAAGGTTCAAAGGCCGGGCTTGCGGACCTAATGCTACGAATAACTTCTGCAGCGAACTACAACAACACAAAAGAAGCGTACATGCCGCCAGTTGCAAGACACACTGCAAATCTGGTGGGAAGCCTAAACCCTAATACCAGACTCAAGACTCTGGCTCTAAACCCTAGCCGCGACACCCCAGACCTTACAAACCATAGCACCAGTTACAATGCTTGGGGGGAGGTGCATGATGAAACATCCCTGCACAGAACACGCAAGGAAGGGCCACGTGTATGGTAAGGCCGAGTGCGCTGTTTCGGGTTTCTGGTTTAAGGGCTGAGGGCTTGGGGTTGACGTCTACAACTTCAGGGTTAGAGTTCAGGTCCATGGGTTTAGAGTTCAGGTCCATGCCAAACACGCTCCCAGCCCAAAAAATGTTTTCAGAGCTGCTTGCTGGCGCTCAAGGGGCGTGGGGGAGGGGATGCAAATACTATGAAAGAGTTATATCGGGAATATGACAAGGATCCATTCCCCCAATCTTTCCTGGAACTGGTAATCAAGTCTTGCCCAAGCCTTCTTCAGAAATCCAAGCTGTTCATCCCCACTTGACCTATAGTCCCCCTTAAGTAGATAGAATATGGAATATATGGGGATCTTGTTATAATATACCCAAAGCCATATTCGATCTACTTAAGGGGGACCATACATCTACAAAATGGCATAGACGAATTTACCCAAGGACCTCTGAAGGATGTCTTCGAGACCCACCGCTCCATATACTCTGGCCAAAAGAAGGTCCGCACACTGGGTGGCTGTCTAAATTATGGTCCCTTTTTGGGTACCCTAAATATTAGGTGCCGTAGTATAATAGGGATCCAAAAAAGGACCATAATCTTGACAACCACCCACATGAGTAATATGTTTGTTTGGGGGATGGTGTGGTTTTCCTTGCAACCAAGCCGCATCCACGGCGGCCTCACAGGGATCAATGTGCACCCAGCGATCCTCGGTGAAGGCCTCCGCCCAGACGTGACCCGCATGGTTGTCGACCTGTGTTCATGCAAAACGCAGCTTTGGACTTAGGAGATGCTACCTAAGACATCCTAAGACATAACACGTGCACACACCCTGTTCTATTTAGGCCTCTACAAGTAGTGGTTCCGCTCTCAACCCTGAACATCTAAACCCAAACCCTAAAACCTTTTCCCTAAACCCTAAACCCTCAAACCCTCAACCCTAAACACCTACACCCTAAATCCTAAGACCTAAACCCTTAAACCCTAAAACCCTCAACCCTAAACACCTAAACCCTAAGCCCTAAAACCTATACCTTAAAAGCCTCAACCCTAAACACCTAAAACCCTAAACCCTAAAACCTAAACCTCAAAAGCCTCAACCCAAAACACCTAAACCCTAAAACAAGCTTTGCGGGATGTGAGAGTTTGGGTGTTGAAAACTATTCCTGAATTCTTGGGTATGAGGCCTGGGTCTTGAGGCTACGAAGCTTCCGGCTGAGGGCTTAGCGTAACCGGCCAATCTGCAATCAAGGTTATATAGGGATAACGGAAAAGAAAATGGCAACTACTATAGTATATTGGGGTTATATGAAGACAAGATCTCCGCCAGCGTTTCCACAGTCACATGCCTATCTTCTAAGATGGGTGATGAATTGGCGGCTGGCTGCAGGTCTGCAAATCGAAGGAGTTGCTTGTGGTGGCCGGAGAACATGCACCATAGTTCAGACGTGAAAATCACAAGCAAAAGTCAGAAGGCGACAACGCAGCAAGAAAAATGAAATGAGAACGAGAATCTGCCTCAACCTCCGCACCAAAAATCCTGAAGCCCAAGCCTTAAACCAGCACTCTTAAACCTCACCCTGAACCTATCCTGAGACATTGACTTCCAACCCTAGGTCCCCAAACCTAAAACCTGAACCTTGATAACACCAAAAAAATCGTACACCTCAAGACACAAAGCACCAAACATCCAATATTGAAATAATCGCTAACCCCTGCACTCCAAAATGGACTCCATGAGCCCTCTCATTTTGCTGCAAGTCACCCAGCGTGCTCCGAAACCCACAGACTCCAGGAGTCGCAGCGCTACCCATGAATACCTGGTATCAGCTTTAATGTTTAAAGCTTATGGCTTTGGGGTTGGGGGTTGGGGTCTTTAGAATTTGGGGCGCTCTGGGGTTTAGAGCTCCAGGGGGGGGCGCCAAGTGCGCCGATCTCTCAGAATAGCGTTACCCTAGAAACGGGTTACCCTATACCCTAAACCCTAAACCCCTAAACCCCTAAACCCTAAACCTTAAACCCTAATCCCTAAACCCTAAACCCCTAAACCCCTAAACCTTAAACCCTAAACCCTAAACCATGGAAATACACCGGAGGCTTGAGGGGCTCCTTGTAGAGCTTCATGGGCTTAGGGTTTGGGCTTTAGAGGTTCCAAGCTTAGGCTTAGATTTCGGGTTTAGGGTTTGGGGCTGGGGTCCATATGAGCTAGAGTTTAAATTCCAAGTATCCCCCCTAATAACCCTTAGAGTAGTCCCCTACATAATCCCCTGTATATACCCCCCTTCAAGGAATTTAGACCCTAAACCCTAAACCCTACATAATCCCTTATATAACCCCTTTAAAGAAATTTGAGTAGTTTAGGGTCCATATATGAACATCCTATACAGAACCCCCCCAAGCCTTGGCATCCCCCAACCTGGGACCCCCAAGCCATTTAGGGTTTAGGGTTCAGAGTTCGGAGTTTAGGGATGAGATTTAGGGTTTAGGGTTTTAGAGTTTAGGGATTAGGGTTTCAGATTTAGGGTTTAGGGCTTGGAGTTTAGGGATTAGGGTTTAAGATTAAATTTAGGGTTTAGGAATTTAGGGTGTAAAGTGTAAGGTTTAGAGTTTAAGGCTCAGATCCTCACTCGCAGAACCCAAACCCCGAACCCAAACCCCAAACCCTTACCTTCAACCCCAAGTCGCCAGCCCAAGACAGTAAATCCCTAACCCTAGACACGCTAAACCCTTGGCCTCCCAATCCCTAACCCCTGCAGCCCAAACCCTACACCCCAGACCCTTCCCCCTACAACCCAAACCCCTGAACCCTGCACCCCAAACCCTAAACCTTAAACCCCACAACTTCAAGCCTACACCCCCAAACCCTTGTCTCATTTGCTTCGAGGGGACTCGCCGCAGCGTCCCCGGTGCGCCCGGAGCACGGGCCGCACGGTGCGGAAGCGCGGAAAGTCGGTGGTCACATTGCAACCTGGGGTTGAAGGTTTAAGGTTCAGGGTTTAGGGCGTTGGGATTATTTAGGGGTTCTATAAAGGATAATGGAAAAAGAAAATGGAAACTACTAATACTCTAGATGTGTGTGTATATATATATATACATATATTTGGGGTTTTCGGTTTTGGGGGTTAGGGTTTGGGGTTTAGGGATTTGTTATCAGGCCTTTTTTCTCCCACAGTACGGTTAGAAAGCTTTGTAAGCTAGGCCCAGGTCCAGTAGAACAGGACCAAAAGACAGCCCTCCTGGGTTCAGGGTTTAGGGTTTAGGGTTTTGGGGTTTAGTGATTAGGGTTTTAGGGCTTTAGGGTTTGGGGGGTTTGGGGTTTTGGGTTTAGGGGTTTTGGGTTTTGGGTTTAGGGGTTTAGGGTTTCGGGGTTGAGGGCTTGACGTTTAAGGTCTACAGTTTCGGGTTTGGGCTTACGGGTCTGCAGTCTAGGGTTGAGGGTTTAGGGCTCCTCATTTCGAGATCTGCGTGGTCTCTCGAATGAATTCTCTTTTGGGTTTAGTACCTTTTGGGTCGTGCTTCTCACTGGATCCCAAAAGTACCAAATTGGAAGGTATACGCGGAGCCTAGGGTCTAGCCTTTGCAGTTTATGGCTTAGGCTGCTTGTTAACTTTGTTTTGCAGATTCGCGAACCCTAGACCCTAAACCCCAAACCCCAAGGGTTGCCAGTATAAATCCTGAGCCAGAAACGTCAGCCCCAAAATTCCCAAAGCCCAAAATCCCGGCCTGTGCAGAAGTACATCTCGCAGACTCCAGCACCTTCTTGCAGTTAGCACCACAATATAATGGAGAATCAAATGGAAAAGAAAATGGAAAATGAAATGGAAACTGGGATTCTATAGGGGATTATAGGTGTTATAGTCTAAACTCCTAGCATCCCCCTTAATAACCTCTATGGGAGTTCCCTATATAAACCCTAAACCCTATTTAACCGCCCTTTAAGGATTTTAGACCCTAAACCCTAAACCCTAAACCGCTCATATGGGGCTTTGGGTCCGGAGTGCACTTCTGGGGCTGGGGTTGAGGGTTTCAGATTCAGGGTCAAAGCTGAAAAAGCATATGGTCAGTGGATTTTGGTTAGCAAACCTCAGAAATAGGATGTAGGCTTTAGGATTTAGGATTTAGGACTTCGGGTTTCGGATTTAGGATTTAGGGTGGCTTTAGGGTCCTGATTCTGGAGATTGGACTCGACCCTCCAATGTAATCTAGGGGCCTGAATATCAGGAAAAGTTCATAGCATTTGGTAGGTTATAAGGGGATGAGAATGTAACTACGCATCCTTAGCTTCTTTTTGGGGTCAGGTCTGGCATGTCTTTATCTGAAGGCCCCCTAAACCCCATACCCTAAACCCTAAACCCTGAACCCTAAACCCTATACCCTACACCCTACACCCTAAACCCTAAACACCTTAGTACCACATTGGAGGCTCCCGGCCGGCTTGAAAGCATAATTCCTGTTGGTTCTACGATGTTCGCGGCATCTTCCCTCTTCAGACAATAACAACTGAGATCTGCCTACACAAGTACACCTAGGTTTTTCTATTCCTGTCACGAAACCCTCGTAGACATTGTGTATAAACTTTTGCCAAAAAAAACGAGAAAAAACACACGGCAGAGAGGACCCCCCTACCTTTTTGCGCGGAATCCTTCATTAGAAGACATTTTGCCTACAAGAGACTTTTCCGTCCTCCCCGGACCCAGTAGGCCTTGAATGAAGTATCAAGATCTAGGGGTACGGCTTTGGGTCCGTTATCACGGTTGAAAGGCGGCATTGCGTACATTGGTCTTGGAATTACACCCTATCCTCAGCAACACTAGCATTGACTTCCAGAGAGCCCCATCTCGGGAGTGCAGTGCGCTTTACAGTACTGGTTCTCAGTAAATGCTGAGGCCTACGTCCTAACGCGATAGCCAGACCTCCACACTGCACTTCCCAGATCTAAAATGTATATCCAAACCAGAAAAGAGGACGCAGCAAAAAGGAGAAACTGGTACCGCATTTTGCGCCTCCTTCGGTGCGTTCGGACTCGCCAGGCCTTTCTCACAGAGCTTGTGGGGGGGCGATCAAACCATGAATTGTCGCGATCAGGTGACTGAGGGCATAGCTTAGTAAGAGGCATTTGTGAGATGCTTGTGGCCTATAACAGGTACATGCCCCCCAACAAAAACTAGACCCTCAACCCTGACCCTTGTCAGTCCTGAACAAGAGGCAGGTCGTAGTTCTCAAGCAGTACGTAGCTTTATAGCCAAAGTTCTTGCACGTTGACACTGCGCCGACGCATGCAAGTCACACCTGAAACTCGCACACGTCTGCAACCCCTGATTGCGTCCATTGCAGCATTGCCTTGCAGAAACTTTGTTTTCATCAAGCAAATAAAACACAAGGCCACTCATCTTGAATCAAGGTTGGTTATCGAAACTAGGACGATGAACTCGAATTAGTTCTACTTTCCTGGAGACCTACACTGATAAACTACCCACCCAGACCACAAGCCGTATTCCCATAAACCCAACAGCACAACAAAATGCAGCAACAACGGCAATGCAGGGTCATGCAGTTGCTGTCACGGGCGTGAAGTTGGCACGAGAAGAAAACACTGCTACTTACCATGTAATCACATGAGCTATAGTCTAAA